ATATATAAAAATACCTGGTGTCTGGTTATAGTTCATACAATTTATTGTTGCTTAACAAATTTATTAACTGTCTTTACAGTCTTTGCAGAAGTGTTCTTTCTGGCAGTGGTGTAGTGCGACTTTTGAATCACTTCTGTTCTATCTGCTAGAGAATTGTGAAATCTAACAAATGGGAAATGACCTTCTATTTTGAGCATTTCAGGAAAGCTTTTCTACTTTTATAGGTGGGTTCTGCATTCTCTTCAAGAACCTGCTGATTCATTTCATTTAAGAAATGCTAAGGTATCTGAAGTGGTGTTTATATATTTAAACAGAACTGTTACGGATTACTTTCCTCATTTGAATCCAGTCTATCTTCTTAACCTCTGAAAAAATTACTCAGAGTAGTGACATTCTGGAGGTTAAGTACAAATATCTACATCAAACTTACTTCAGCAGTTTTTCTGAACCTTAAAAAAGGGGGAGGGTCTTCTGGAGCGAGTCCTCAACTAACAGGAAGATCTCTCAGATGTGCTTTTCCGGTCAGTTATCTCACAACTTGCCTTTCCCCCCTTGTGATTCTTTGGTCTCCCTCAGAAGTCGACCAGCCGACTCCAAACCTTTTCATCATGGGAGCAGTGAGTATCTGTGTCCTGAATATCATATCAAAGCTTGTTGCTCCCTTTCTGTCCCATTTTTCCCTTCCTTAACGTTTCTTTTCACTAGGCATGAGTCCTTAGGATCCGGTTCAGATCAGGCCCACAGATCTGTCAGTTAAGTAAGAATCTCCACAGGTGGTCAATATTTACGAGTTTCATGGTGTCTCTACATCGGTTAGCGCTGACAGCATAAAGAACTGTTCTTCTCTGAGGTCTGATGGAATGTCAGTGCTAGAAAAAGCAGGTGTCTTTTTAATCTCTCACAATTTACACGAGTTACTTAGGACTATTAACACGCTAAAATCTGACTTCAGTTTTCTTACATGTGCTGGAATCATATGATACACACTTTATTCAGAGTTCTTTTGAGTTCCTTTAAAAGCTGGGCTTCCTTCTAAAATTATAATTACAATTGTTTTTAAAGATGTTGTTGTTGTTGTTGGAATATTCCACAACCTTTTTCCTTTTTCTGTCTACTTCTTCCTTATATGGTTTTCAAAACTACAATTTTTGCTTAGATGGTGCATTGGAAAACTTGTTTTTTAGTATTGCTGGTTGCATGAAAGTCGTGAAAGCTAAGGGTGTGTATTCCTGGCTTTGTTCAACGTGCCAGCTTCAGAACAGTGAAAATGGACAAACTTACTAACTTTGAAGTTTGATCTTTAGATGAGGTGGATGGAAATGAATTATTAACTTATATGGTCATGCCAATCTCATCATGCCAGTCTGTGATTATGGTGGTTATGACAATGAGGTTCCAAAGATCTGGTTATGACAATGAGGTTCCAAAGATCTGGGTGACACAAATGCTTTTGCAGTGGGTTATATTCATCTATCCTATTTAATGTTTTGTGGCTTATCTTCAAGTTGTTCTGCATAAAATTAGCTAGGACAGTAGAACTCAGCTTTACCATGGAGTGATAATGGCTTGGTGCCAGCATAAATATAATACACTTCTGTAAATATTATTACATATAATACTACATATTAAGAGAGAGATGAATCCGTGTTAAAACCATGCAGATTAACTGGTTTCTGTCAGGTAGTTGTGTACTGATTTGGCAGTGTTTATGTATGTCTTGGGATGGATTGCAAAGATGGTTGGGCACTTAAGTCATTGAAGTGCCCCTGAATCCCTTATTGTGAAGTTTTACTAAGCATTTAAACCACAATATTCAAATTTATATAGATATGATAAATAGATAATTCTATGCCAGTAAAGCCAACTTTAGCATAACTATGGGTGGCCTAGCAACAAGGAGCTCAATGGAGCCTAACTAATGCCATCTCTTGGATAAATAATTTCAAAGTATGTATTGCAATTGGATGTTGTATTGCAGCAGGATTACATCATACTTGAGCTAGATTTTGTTCTGCTCCAGCTGCCTGTTTGCTAAGTTTCTGGTTTTATTTTGGTTCAAGGAGAATCTCCTGAATGCTGCTAATATGCAACCTATTCAACATAAAGATTCAACATTGGAAGATTACTTAGAAATTTCCAGTGAGTATAGATCCATTTGTCTGATTAGTTAGTAGTGGGCTGTGAATCTTAAAACTTACTCTTAAGTGTCTGTATACACTCCTTTTTAATTTCTGTGTAGTGGCTCTGATCCATAAAGTGCTGCATGTTTTTGAGAGTTGATTATTGGAGAGAACTGTGAGTGCATGAGCTA